CCTGGTACATTTTAATTTCAGTCAGAAAAGGGTTATGCAGAGGACTCTACTCATTGTCGCATACAATTCATAGACACTAGAGCTAGACCTTATGGCCACATAAAATTAAGGCCTGGAAAGTGTTATTTAGATAATAATTAGCGATACTTGATACAAACCAAAATACATTTCAATAATTGCATAAAGGTGGCAGTTTGAAATCAATAGTAACTACTGTAAAACATGGGGATTGACACAAATTGAAATTAATATGACCTGTAGTTGTTCCTACACTTTAACAAAGAAGATGCCAATATCAGATAATTTCATTCCAGTTATTATTTTTTTTTACAGAAGCTGGATTGGAGAACAGACACATCTCCATAAACATACATACAAATATATATTGAAAAATACGAAAGATGTAAATAAAGTATTAATGTCATAAAGATAGTTATATCGCCAACTATCTAATTAATCACTGTTGATTATTTTATATCTTTGAGGGGTGTTACGTGTGATGATACCAATGATTAATGAAGTAATATCAGATAATTTTATCACAGTTGTCATCAACGGCTTTGATTTGCTTACTACCATATTCTTCGGTGTATTAGGCGCATTTTTTACCAGATATTTACTGTAAACTAAATATAGTCATAAGTTCCTTAACTAATGGTGCATGATTTGCATTTTTCAAAATTCCATGCTAATAATTATTATATTATGTACTTAGATTGATTACTTAAACATATATTATTGCAGGTCTTTCTTTAGGCCTGAAATGTTATCTAAATTATTAATTAGAAATTAATTAACTTATCCAGAGCATAATCAACTCTCGATGTCAGCGCTAGCCTGCAATATTTACTGGATTATAATACGATCTGCTGCTCAACGCTCATTCATGATTAAATCAAAACATGGATAATCAAAACTGTTTTTTATGTACCGACTTAAGTAATGCCTTTACATTATCTAGTTTTTAACTAATCTCCCATAATGTATCTTTTACAGTTAATTAACAAAACAAAATCAAAATATCAACGCTAAATAATCTCCCGGCTTGGATTCAATCGGATTAAAAACAGGTCAATCAATTAGATTTTGGAAAAACACGAAGATGGCGGCAGGTGTGTTATATCCTGAAATGACATGGTTTGTGTTAAGTGGACATTAAACCCCACTTCTCTCTTTAGAGGACCCTGCTGTCTCTAAAAGAAAAAAAATTCTTAGAAATTTGCAAATCATACTGATCCAACATCACACACAGCCTGTAAACTCCTATAGTTGCATATTTCTTGATTATTAACTTAAATGTTCACAATCTATACCCAATTCAGAAAGAAAGAAATTGAGTTCAATGTTCACTTGAGAGTAACCAGGTCATTTTGAGACTAACTTAGTAAACTCGAGTACCAAAGAAAACTCTTCTGACTTGCAGAGATAATAACAAGGGCCGACTCTGCCACCCAACCCACAACTTGAAAAGAAAAGTGATGTATAAAAATATTACGGTAACTAAAATGTTTTATAATAGTTTGTCCTAGGCTGTTGAACAGGGTTACATTCAAAACTACTGAATGAAGAGAGATAATGGTTTGGATAGTGCTGAATATTGTATGCTCATTTCAGAACAATTCCATTACAAACCTAAAAAATTAGAACCTTACTAAATACCAAATTTAAGGAATTATTTCCAGTATCCCTTATCAAATATAGCTAGGCCAGACTATAAACTTGGTACAGTGTATCAGATGAAAGATACTCACATTCTGTGAGATTGATCTGTATGCTGAATAATGTATTTGATTTCTGGCATGTTGAATAATTTATTTCCCATTCATCAGTTTAATGCAACAGAAAAATATATTTATTTATTCATTGACATTTTGTATATAAAATTATGTCACATGGGATATAAATCCTGCGCTCGTCTTTTTAATTATTAACAAGCATATATGATATCTACATACAACCAATATAGATAAGATATAGACATGGTTATAAAATATACTCCTCTGGACTCTGACATACAACAAACAAATTACTAGAACATTCTCGTCATGTAATATTCATTAAGGCATTTCAATTTAAAAAAATCAATATATGCAGATAATATTTCAAAACTGTACTGTTTCATGAATCATTAAAAAGTAATCTAGCCTTTTTGATGGCTATTTTGTTTCCTTTTATTAGCATTGTAACAATAAGAATAGGGAACCATGATGGCCTGGTGAGTATGGTGTTTGTTCACTAACCAGGAGTTCATAGGTTTGCTTCCTGTGTTGGCTAGGAGGTTCTTCAGCCGGATTTTCCAACGTGGTTTCCCCATTTCAGTTATGCAGGATGGATGTCCTAGCAAAGAAAAACCTCTAGTTGTTTGAATAGGATGAAAAACCAAGGCCCATGTATACCATCGGCACCACATTAAAGATCCCCTGAGAGTTGAAAATAAAAGTAGGCTGTAGCTCTGTAGTCTGGGCAAACTTTCCCTCATAGCACACTGCAGGAGTAATCCCATCTTCATAATCACAGTTGATGCAGATAAGTAAGATGTCAAACCCCAATTTCATTTCATTGAAGATTAAGGACAACAAAGCTTATAGATTAGCCTTTCCAAAGATAGGGGGACAGGCAAAGAAACATATATACGCTTACAATAGCTAAGATGTTTTATAGGATGTTTAACATATCACTTACTCTTTATATAAATCATTTGGGACTGGATAATCTTTAATTCTATGGTTATGTGTACAATGCAAATATTTTCAATAATCTAAACAATGCATATAGATATATCATATCTGGCAGATCAACATTTGTTGCTAGAGCATTAACAAAGTGTGCACAGGCAATAGTGTTGAGTTCAATGCTAAACTAAACAATGCATATAAATTTTATTCAGATTGGATAATAACTTTTGTTGCAAGAGCTTTAACAAGATACTAAAAAGTGAGCAAGAACAATAGCTAATGAACGAAAATTGGGAAAATTCAAAAAGCTTTTTCAGGTCTATAATTTAAAAAATGCACATAAATTTCACACAGAATGAATTTGGTTGCTTGAGGGGTCACAAGATTCTGCAAAGTGGGCAAGGGCAAGAACTCTAGAGATCATTACCAGTAATGAAAATTGTTTATTCTTAGATTCACTAATACCCTTGTCAGACTGGGGTGGCGCACTTACTGGGCTGCTACGGCGACAGAAAATGGTCCCAGAGTGCGTCAAGATCGTCATAAGCGTGGTGGAGACAACAGATAACGTGCTATGGTCTCCATGGTTGCAAATGATCACAGAGTCACAATTTGTTTGTGGACACTCTACAGGTCACAATTTTTATCCAATTATGACGAAACTTAAAATATAGGTTATCTCTTAAAGGTCTTGGTTCCTTTCAATATTGGCAATAACAGACCGTAACTTCGTGGACTATGTACAAAAAAATCACGATTTTAGCTTGTAGACACTCTAGAGGTCACAATTTTTATCCGATTTTGATGAAATTTATGTGTATATCCCAAAGATATCGGTTCCTTTTGATATTAGCCCATATCAAACTGTAACTTTCTAGATTAAGGCCTCTGATTGTACTAAAAATCACGTTTTTAGCTTTTGATAAACCATAAAACATATGTTTATATCCCAAATATATTGGTTCCTTTCAATATTGACGCATATCGGGCTGTAACATCCTGGATTATGGCCCCTGATTGTATGCAAAATCTTTTTTTTTTTTTAGCCTGTTCACCTCTTGCAAAATATGGACATATCTTGCAAGGTAACCACTTGTATAAATGTAGAGTGATCAAAAGATATTGTGGATGATGGATTTACGAACAGTGGTGGCAGCAATGTGATCATATAAAAAGGTAATTATGTTTTATTTCTCTATATATTTTATTTAGGAAAGGGGGGGTTGGATGGCTGAATGGTAAGCACGTGCGCGCTGTATCATAAGGTCTGCCATTGAGTCAACTGGCTTGGTTTCGAATCCCCGGTTGTATGTGACAAGGAGTAGGGTCGCCTGTCCAACCTCGTGGGTTTTCTCCGGGTCCTTCGGTTTCCTCCCACTGCTAAAGACCCCTACGTGCAAGCGAATTATTGAAATGAAATTAAACTGTATGTTAGTCCCGAAATGACCTAGTTTGTGTTGAGTGGACGTTTAACCCCATTTCTCTCTCTCTTATTTAGGAAAGTATTGGTATTCAACAGCTATACTGGAATGAGGCCAAATTGGAAAACTTTGGTATGTTAACTTTTGATGTATGTAAGTATAATATTGATTAATAACAAATCTATATACTTCCTTTAAACCTTCATCCCTAACATAGTTTGTTGAGAAACTATTGAAAATATAAAAGCTAATGGACTATGGACAACAGATTGGCCAATTTGCCAATTTTAAATAGTACCTTATAAAGTTTAATGATTGATTCCAAAGGGCTGTAATGTCATGTCAAGTTTTTTTTACATATAATTGTGCCCTTTGGTGAAAGTCTTGTTCAGTCATTTTGAGTCTTAACATATACAATAATTTGTATTTCTACAGTACATGTGCAGTGGCATATTTGCCTACAAGGTGCTTTTTTTCTCCAAATTTCAAACTGCCAAGGGATATTTTACTTGCACAATCAATTTGTACACATAATCTCAGTCTTTCATCCCATTAGAACAAGTAGACACATATTTTCTTGTCAGGCACTGGCCACTGACCAGTCAGAGCTAGTTTTGAAAATCATCAAAATTTTTCTAGGGATTTGAAAGCTGGAAAAGGGGATAATTAAGATGGCATTAATTTACAGTTGTGGTTTTTAATAAGTTGTAGAATGCTGGCACAAAAGAACTTACTGTAAATAAGTCAGCACTTGAGTTTTCGGTAATTAAAGTAAATTACAATGTAAACAAAGAGGGTGGTAGATATCTAACCTGTTTCAGGTCACCAAAATTGGCCAATTTAATCTAATCAAATTGTTTTATACTGATGGAATCGTGAATTTAGAAACGAAATATGTACAAACCTTGGTTGAGGAATATTTTCAGGAACATTTTCAGGTTTTATGCGATGTGTAAACCGTTCTGAATTGACGCGTCGGAGTCTCATATTGTCATCATCCCTCCAATTAACTTTCTTTACTGCCACTGATCGTGTGGTTTGAATTGGTTTGTTTACATGCTTGAAAGACCTATCGGTAAGATTGTTGGCATCTGTCTGTCGTGTAGCTGAGTAAATTCCAATAGCTCTGTAAAAACATAGACATAATTATTACTTACTCGATACTACTCCATGACTGTAATCATCAATCTGACAAACAGCCAACATCATCCACTAATTAATCAGATAATAACATACATGTAATTAATTAATCCTATCAATAAATTGTCTGGCCATCTGGTTCTCAATGTAAGATTTGTTGTACTGACTATTTTTCATTTACTTTTGAACGAATATCAAACTGCTTTTCCTTCTATAAGTTACTCCCAGGAGTACTGGAACAAGAGAGAGAGAGAGAGAGAAATGGGGTTAACGTCCACTCAACCCTAACTGGGTCATTTTGGGACTAACACATGGTTCAATTTTATTTCAACAATTTGTGTGCGTGTAGGGGTCTTTAGCAGTGGGAGGAAACTGGAGGACCCGGAGAAAACCCACAAGATTGGACAGGCAATCCTTCTCCTTGTCACCTAAAACCGGGGAATCGAAACCACGCCAGTTGACTGAATGACTACTAGGAACTAGAGGTGTCCACAGATCAGGGTGACCAAATGAAAAAACTTAAATTGAACAGAACCAAAAAATATCCATCTCATATCTGATATAATCCACATATATTTTGTTTGTTCAGATCCAGAATCGAAAATTGCTAGACATCCTCCAATCCCAAACAATTTGATTCGAAAAAGAGAAATTTGAATTATGAAATTGATAATGAATCAATAGTGTTCTTCAATATGTCACACAAAATAAATTCAAAAATAAAGAGAGAGAGAGAGAGAGATGGGGTTTAACATCCACTCGACACAAACTAGGTCATTTTGGGACTAACACATGGTTCAATTTTATTTCAATAATTCGCTTGCACATAGGGGTCTTTGGCAGTGGGAGGAAACCGGAGGACCCGGACAAAACCCACGAGGTTGGGCAGGCAACCCTACTCCTTGTCACGTACAACCAGGGAATCGAAACCCCGCCAGTTGACTCAATGACAGACCGTATGATACAGCACAGCGTGCACGTGCTAACCATTCGGCCATCCAACCCCCTCAAAAATAAAAGTTGCCTTGCCCTGCCTTTAGTAATATATTTCCAATATTAAACAAAATCCAATAAATCTAATAAGAAACTTTACATAGTCTTTATGTTGACAAAATTTTTTAATGTCATTAAATATGTGAATGGAAAATAGAGTGTAGTGAATTGAACAATAAACAAAACGTTAAAATTAAACGTCAACATTTCTGGCAGGTAAGTTATTTCGATTCAAAACATGCATCATCATCACTTCAAATAACAATCTAGAGGCAAGTTCGGATCAGATTCTGTTTAGATTTGGGTCAGAATCAAACACCTCTAGCTATCTCTGTTGCGCTCACAATATGAGGAAGGCAAAATGGTCCCCTTTGGCTTATTTTATGTAACTGTGCCCAGATATTTTGATTCCAATCACTTTTTTATGATCAATCACTGTCTATTTTAATGAGGAGCCTTCTTGTTTCTCTCTGAAATAGAGGTTATGTGAATTCAAGCATTAAATTTGTGTCCCTTAAGAATCTTGTCTCTGATCAGATGAAGTTTGTAATGATTAATTGCATAAATTGTGTAGGTCATCTAGTACACCATACGGGTTTATTTGGACATCTGTAACTATATTCATTATGTACATTAAGTAAACTATAGTCTACCATATGTATTTGTTGCCACTGAACATTAATTTTTTTACCACCTCCCCGTCCCCCATTATTTCATCTGGTGTAGAAAAAACTTAATGATTTAAAGAAGTGTTCCATTAAACATAATTAGGTCATCTATTTGACAAATATTTATTTCTATCTGAAAGTATAGAATTATAGACTCAAATTGCTTAATAAACGTAAAATATATTAAATAAGTTATATGTAATTATTATATATCATTAACCACAGATTTGTAATTCAAATGTCAACATCTGTTGGTCCTCTATTGCCTAGCGACATGCACTCTTGCAAGCTTGATCATCGACTGGTCTTGGTATATTTATTTTTGAACGTCCTATATATAGCTAGGAAATACTTATACTCATGTCTAGATGAGAAATGATATGAATTGCGGTTTAATGTCCTACTTTTGTGCTCCAACTTGGCTAATGAAGACTGCCATATGTCATGCAGTGTCCAAATGGGGTGGGGGTTCTGTCTAAACAATATCTATCAGAAACCTTTTATTGGCCAAGAACTGGATGAACAATCTGATTAAAATACAGATCTATATTTCGTTTTTTTTTTTTATACTTTCGATGGCCTCTACTACCTGAAGATCTGACCAGTTGTAGTGGGAGGTCATACAAGCGGGTTTAGACCCTATGACGTCAGACATTGATTAACCAATCAGCATTGATGTTTCTAGCAAGTTACCCACAGTTCCCTGAAACTCACACCAAAAACTTGCCGTAATAGACCGTTTCATTGGCTAATCCCCCACATCATCCAGCAAGTGGGTTATATAACAACTCTTACAGATCCTAGTGTAGTTAAGACAAGTAACACAAAATTTTGAACTATAAAAAACGATACGAAATAGTATCTGTGTTTTAATCAGATTGCTGGATGAAGTGATGAGGAAGAAAATTCTGATCCTGAAGAAGCAAAACATGAATTTCTTAAATATGCCATATACAACCTACATGTATAGACAATATGTTTTCCAGTCTATGGTTATATAATCATGAACTTGAACGATGAAGACATATACCTTCACTTTAAGCTACAGGTAATCTGCAAATGTAAAAAATGATTTAAACACATAAAGAGAGCTTGATTTTCCAAAATTCACATTGTTTCCCATTCCCGGAAACTTGTTCATTGCATTAATATGCATCTAAATATCAATCATACCATAATTATTCACAGTAGAAATATTAACATTGACATGGTTAACTTGCATAGTTCTGACATTTTCCCAAGTTTCTCTGTTTGAAAAAGAAAAGCACAATTACACCAGCACCAAGGACAACATGTCCGTCATCAATGTTGTTAAAATTTGAGAGTATAAAATATGTTCGTGAGAGAAGGATTAACAAACATAATCAGGTGTATCTAAGATTAATTTGAACTAAAAATTCATTACTTTTTTCTAAAAAGGATCATGATGAATGGTTACGAATCAATTTGTAAAACCTTTAAAAAAAAATTTAAAAGTAGTTTACAATTAACCATGAATATGGTTTTAAAAATGAGTACTACTAAAAATGTCTCAACAACCAATGTTTTGTTATTAATTCCCAGATTTGAAAACCTTATCTATTCCAAAACACTGATTAATATGTAATAGTTTATACATGCATGGAAAAAAACTTTTTTGTCCAAACCTGTTCTATCTGATTAAAACACAGATCCTATTTCGTTTCCTTTTTTTATAGTTCAAAATTTTGTTTTACTTGTCTTTACTGCACTAGGATCTGTAAGAGTTGTTATATAACAGGCGTTCTGGATGATGTGAGAGATTAGCCAATGAAATGGTCTGTTACAACAAGTTTTAGGTGTGAGGTGCACAGAACTGTGGGTAAACTACTAGAAATATCAAAGCTGATTGATAAATCAATGTCTGACGCCATACGGTCAAAAGCTGCTCGTATGACACCTGATGCGACCTTCCACTACAACTGGTCAGATCTTCGTGTAGTGTAGGCCATCGAAAGTATAAAAAAAATGAAACAAAGTAATAGATCTATATATTTTAACAACTCTATAAGTACAGGGGAGTGATTTCAACACTACAAAGAAAGACACACATATATTTAATCAACAAAATTATGCATTTCCTTTGGCAATGATGGCTGAATTCAAACTTCATAGAGAAAAGAAAACCAGCAAAGAAATAGATCTTATGTACTGTACACCAATAATATATCTAAGTCGGAACAAAATAGAAATGAAATGGGGTTTGATGTCCTACTTTTCTGCAACATAATGTGCTAATGAAGACAGGCAATCGCCATGTAGTGTGCTATGACGGAAATTTGTCCCCAACAGCAGGCGCTACAACCTACTCTTGTTTCAAATTCCAATTGCCAAGGGTTCTTTTACATGCATGCCAACATGTACACAACACAGGAACTTGTGTTTTGTAACATACAAATGACTACATGCTGTTCCTTGCCAGGCACTCCATCCTGCACCACTGACAAGGGAAACCATGCCAGAAAACCCTGGGGAACATTCTAGTTAACAGTACACCAGGAGCAAACCCAAGGCCTCCTGGTAAGGAGCTAGCGACTAACCCACTGAGACACCACAAAGATTTAAATTTAGAATCTGTCCACCAATTTTTATTACAAATATAAACACAACTCAGTAATGGACAGATTCTGCTTTCTAACCCAAAACTGACCAGTAAGTATAATCAAATATCTTCTATATATATATTTGTGACTGTCGTTTGTCTGTCTGTCTGTCTGTCTGTTCGGGGTTGGCGACAATACAGAGAAAGTACTTAAATACACAATCCTAGATCAGATATGTTTATAACATCCAAGATAAAAACAAATTTATAATTATTTAACCAAATCATTTGGTCAGAACAAAATTATCAGTTTGGGTTTTTTGTTTGTCAATAAATCTTCATTCCCTATTAATTAAAGGGGCATTATGGGAGATTATATAAAAAGCTGGCATTTCTCACTATAATAGTTAAAAACTAAATAAAGGGAATTTGCTGACAATTTCAGTCAAATTAATTAACTCTGAACCAAGATATTAGCTTTAATTGAATTTTAGGCCTAGCCTCAATCATCATTACTAAAGTCGGTATGATAAAAAACATATTCATTTTTGGATTAAATCATCAATGAGCATTCAGCAGCAAATCGGATTCAAATCAAATAAATATTGCAGGCTAGAGGGTCCACAACCTTGATATAGCATATATTTACACTATTTGTGTAAGAGGGGCAGCCATTTTGTCCGACAGTTTTGGTCCGAATTCGAACTCAACCATCATTAGGGTGTAACAGTGATATATTCAAACGTCCAATCAACGAAGTTAAAA